TTAAGCATATGAATATACATGACAATATTTAACGAATGTGAGCAAAGTTGGATTATTTTTTTATTGTAACACATAGAAAAATCATTTTATTACTCAATTTTCTTTTAAGAAACGAGCGTTTATCCTTAATAAAAAATATTTTTTTGATAATCTTAAAATATATTTATTTCTTTTATGCTTAAAATATATTTATAAATTTTAGACTAACTCATTTGATATTTTCAAAACATAAATTAATTTTCTTTTAAAGAATATTGTATAAAATTGATCGAAGAAGCAACTTTATACATATAATAAGCAAATCGATTTACTTTAATAATTTTGATTGAAGTATTAAATTATAATTAAATTTAATAGGATTCAGAACATATCTTAAATCAATTTGTCGTTTGTAATGAATTCGTAGATTTGCAATTATATTTATAAGCTTTCGAAATGTTTGAAACAAATTATTATTTGTTAATATAATAATTATTATTTGTATATGATATGTATTTTTTTATGTGTATAACTGTCAAATGTGCGCATTGGCTGACATTATAAATTAACGTCATTTCGTTCGAAAAAATTAATTTCGTTCGATTAAATTGTCTTTATAACGAATATTACTTAACATCAATATTATAATTATATATATAATAATATAATTCGTGGAAATAGAGTTTATATACCTGACAAGATAATGTTACATTGGCTAATATTGACATGTACTGACTATGTTGTCTTGGAACTGACTTTAGAATGTATTCAGAAGCGATTGAGTAAATTGTCAAGCGTTAGCAAATTCCGATCATCATCGTATAAAAGCGGTCAGCTTTAAAAGAAGGATTTGATCATTTGGTAATCAGAACGATTGTTGGCGTGATACGATACACGAGTTGTGTTATTTAATTACAAAAATGTTCGCGATTTTCGCACTTCTGTTTTCGATAGTCCTCGCGTCTGGTAAGCAGTTTTATTCTTAATAATTTAGCATATAAAAAACTATCACAATGAGAGAAAAGTGTTTGATATTTATATGATATAATTGCATAGTAGATTATTTATGGTTAGTAACTCTATTTTTATAATTATTACTGTTATAATGTTAATAATAATAACTTACACAAATATTAAATATTTTTTTATATATAAAACCATAAATGTAATTATTACTAACATATTATACCAATAATAAATAATAATGTAATAAGAAAAAAGGTTCCTAATTATAAGTATCTTATTATCTAATTATAATCAAATACCAAATATGTTTTCTTCTCAAGATATTTATAATGATTAAATTTTTCAAGTGTTTAACTTCATTAAACTTACTTAACGCTTAGTATAATTGATTTTAGACAAGAACTTGAACAGAATGGATTTGAAATGTGCGGGATTTGCTATTCATAATGTATCTCTTTCTGCATATTATCCTGTATTCGAGACGGACGATAAACGTAATTATCTAGATGATCAAGGAAATGGATTGAAGACTCTTCAGGTTCGTGACAGACGCAATGTGGCAACGACTTACATACCATTTTCTCTAATATATACGAATTCATTTTAGGATTATCTTGATGGTCGTGCTCATTACGTTTCTGTCGCTGGTAATTTAAAATCTGGCATCCCATATGGAACGAAGATATGCATAGAAGAATTGAATGAGCAATTCGGGAAACAAATTCCCATGCAGGTGTATAATTATAATATTATATATTATGTTTGCTATATTATAAAACATGAGACTCGGCAATATTGATCTTCATAACACATATTGAAAATATAGAAAGAATAAAATAATTTATTTTATTTTAGATAAGGGATCAGAGTGATTACGAAAGCAATAAACTAATCGATTTCTCGAGATTGGAAATTTGCGTCAGGACTGAGGAGGATACTTATGATAAATACCTCAACGATTTTGTTACTATCTATATATAATAATTACATGGAAATTATGTACTTGATTATTTATTGCTAATAATACTTTTAAATTAATATTTTATAATAATTATAATAATTATGTTATATATTATACATGAAATTGAATTAAATCATTTATTCTTATATACGATTATATTAAAATAACGATTTATTTTTACAAATATTTACATATTAGTTAATCTGATAAAGCGATATAAATTGATATGAAATTACGATAAATTTTGACATTTAGAATCAAAAGCATTGTGAATTTCGTAAATATTCATTAATTGTTGATCGATTACGCAATCATGATTTATGTATCGTTCTGATCGCGACCAATAAAAAATTTTTGTTACGTGTCGTATTAAAAACAATATACATTATTATTTATTAATTTTCTGACCAATGAGGCCATGACTTTATCATTGTGTAAAGACTATTTCCGGGACATTCGGTTGGCCAGGTTTGTCGATGTCCAAGAAGCTTGTAATTATTCTTTATTTCGTTATTTTCTACTCCATAAGCAATCAAATTGGCCACTGTTTGTACTGCCGCTGCATTTGGTGTTCGGTCTAATAAGAAAAATTAGAGAAATACTTGTTATCTATATGTAATATTAATTACAAAGCCATCTTATTTCTGGTTGCTTACTTCTGTAATCTCCGATGATACAAATTCCAATACTCTTACTATTGAAAGGTATAGAATGAGCGCCTTTTTTGCCCCATCCGCGACCCTCATACGCGTTTCCGTCTTCACCGACTAGGAAATTATAGCCAATATCACTCCAACCTTTTTTGTTCATGTGTTCATTCTTGAAACAAAATTTGATAATTTAATCGTTGTGATATGCAATTACCATTATTTATTATTTATTAATATTTATATATTTATTATTTATTAAAACGCAAAATAAAAAAGAATCAACTTTGTTCTATTAAAATAGAACAATAGATATGTAAAATATTTATGTAAAATATTATTTGAGTTGTACCTATATGATTGTTTGCGTATGATGAGTCACACAAATACAAAAGATTTTCCGTTCAGAAAAAGATTTGTTTTTTGATATATTAATTACCTGGAATTGTCTCACTTTCAATTGACATGTAGCTTGAGTTTCGCAACCGGAGCCAACCGAATGATGAATGATCACATAAGGTGCTGGTTTTAATTTAAGATTAGAAGCTTGCGATTTCGGTTCTCTAGCGCCCCATTGTGTTCTAGAAATGATATTTGGACTATCTGAAAAATCAATTAAAATTAAAAATGAATGATTATGCTTTATATAAGCATAAGCATTAGCAATGACTTATAATAAATTTTAATTAATTTAAATGATTAAAATGTAGTCTAAAATCCACTTTAATTGAATTTAAAAAGCTATTATTTTAATAAATTAAATGTAAAACTATATTTTATATCATTGTTTTTTTTTAAAGAACGAACGCGAAGATTTATGAGCCTGCATGCTTCTTATATGTTCTTATATCTTCTAAATTTTATGTGAACGGAATACTTTATCGCTTAGCGGATAATATTATTTTTGAATTAGATGCTTATATGAATATACGAATATTAAATGAATGCTATTATAAGATAATTACATGCCTCTGATTTTTACTGGTTTTCACGGAAAAAAATGTAAGAAAATATAAAAAAATATTTATATACCATGAAGAATAAAAAATATTTCTCACAAATTGAAATTAATATTATATTCTGTTTGAAGAAAAAATTATTCGAAATGCAAATAACACATTATTGTATTGACGTAATAGCAATTATCAATCTTGACATACGGGATATTTCTATAATAATTTATCACGTCAACAAATATTTTGCTTTATGTACAAATATATTTAACTACTATACTTATCGCGCAAATACATTATTAATCAATCGATAACAATTAGTGTTTTTCCATGAATCATAAGTATAATGAAAGTTTCAATTTATCAAGAAAATACGAAGAGATCTGGATAAGAAACTGATTTTTATTGAAAATTAACTCTTAGTTTTACAATTTTATATCTTATTGCTTACTTGCAATTACTATTACAAATTAATTTCTAATTAATTATCTTTGAAACTAATTACAAGGATAAGAATTTTATTATGCTTCCGCAAAATATTCTTTTAACAACTTTTAACACGCACTATAAGAAATATCTTTAAAAATTTTGATGCTCATGGAAGCACAAAGCGAAATTCACAGTTTAAACTCGCGGTATAAATAATATATTAATTGATTTACTGGCAGCAGTCTCCTGGACGATCAGTATTACATAAACTGTCACGAAAATTGATGCCGTCGGAATGTACATTTTGACTTGCAAAACGATACTAATGTCATATGCAACTTGATATACAATGAGTGCGTTCAGAGAGACACTGTATGCGCTATTTAACGCTACAAGCTGTTGGCGGAAGATAGCGTTATAACAATTATGAGGTCACCAATAGTAGCGTTTTACGTAATCTGCGCGCTATCAATGCTATTCCTTTCGAAGGGGGTTACCAGCCGTCCTCTTTTCCCCATCACACGATGTTCTTTTTTTTAAAGCATTCGGGGATGTCCGGAAGATTTTTTTCCAAAGGCATCCGGGATAATTATGAGCGCGTCCAGAGTTTTAGAAAATCTTTTAAATTTTTTCTTTGACTTCTCTGCGTTATTTTGTATTAGTTTTGATTTACAATAGATGTAGTAATTCTTAAGCTGTGAAAAATTGACCAATCATAGTTGAATGTGAGAAAAATAATCGACTGTATAATTGGTCAATTTCTTACATTTAGTACAATTGGTACTACTAATGAACAATTAGATGTGAAATAATTATTCGCGTTTACTGTTCTAATGTTCTGATCAATTTTAATACACGTACTTTTATAGCGTCCGGGGTTTCAAGTGAAATGTCTAGGGTTTTTGGCCTGTAAGTTTTAATTTTGAAAATTTTGTATGGGCAGCGTTAGTGTTTGCAGCATTTATTTCATATAAGGATCAAACATCCTTTTAAAAACCGAATTTATATCCAAATTCAATTAAAGCACTGAAAAAAAAACAGGAAACAGAATTTAGAAAAAGAAGGCGGCCATGTCAAAGAAAAGAAGTTAGAGATAATTCCAAGTAGATGAAAAAGATTTAGTCGATTCTAAGATGTACTTTTCTAACATAAAATACTATTTTTAATTTTTTTTAATTGTAAATATTTAATTATTATAAAGTTTATAAATCCTTAATTAATTCTTTGATCTGTTTCTGTATCATCAATCTATATTTGAACATATTTTTTTTAATAATAAAGATTTATTCAAAATATTTCGTAAATATACGTAAATATACATAAATATGCATAAATTTACATAAATTACGATATATTCTCTCACATCTCCGATAAATAATATTTTTTCTACTTCTTTATGATTCAACCACTAATATTTTATCATTATTAATGATTTTATTATTTGCGATACAGTTTGCTACAATAAGAATAAATTATTTTAGCACGTAACAGTTTAAATTCTAAAAATAATGCACATAAATAAATTATTTCTATTATAAGGAAAATATGATTTAAACGATGTAATACATAAAATAATTTTTCTTTCATAATTCTTGAAAAAAATTTGATATTGTATAATTTATTTTATAAATATATATCCTATTCTTTTATAAAATGTTATTATGCTCCTTTTTAACCTAACTCGACGAATGCTACCAACACTACATTTGTTGTTCATGGAATTTATTAACTACCGAGCTATTGGCTCTGTGAACAGCATTGATAGCGTCTCTCTCTCTCCGAAGACACTCAATATATAAGCACTTTTAATTCAAGATATTGTACATGATCTTTGACCACATGGCCTATAACAGATGTGTACGTATGTCTATATACATACATACATACACATTTGAAGTAATCTCCAAACGGGATTTTCCTGTTAATCTAATGACTTGAGAAAGGGGGGGGGGGGGGGAAGACTAACTGGAATTTTAGCATTTGATAATAATGCTTAAATCATTTAATTGTAATGTTGATTTATTTATAAATATATATTCATATATCTTACGACAAAATTTGTATAATTTATAGAATGTTATCATTAAAATAATTTATTAAATAATCAGATAACTTTTTTATTAACAAATCTCGTAAGTTGCAGAAAAAAGACTTAATTATTTAGTATAATTATATAAGTTTAATATATGTGTATAA